TTTTGAAAATCAGATTTGGTAAAAAATTAATCTATGCTTCAAATTAACGCACATGCGCGTACTCAAAATAACGCGCAGATGAGCGTTATTACGCGAAAATACGGTATATTTATTTCAAGTATTTTATATTTTACATGGAAAAAAGAAAATTAAACCAATATAGAATTTATAGTACAAAAATTTTCAAACATTCCATTGGTATAAATAAAAAAAAAAATAATTATAAAACTAGTTATTTTTTGGAATAAGATGAACTTTTAATTCTTCACATTCATTTGCCCAAACGTAAATTTTTTTTAATGGAGCATTAGGATCAACCAAATCAATAGTATAATTTCTAAAAAGCAAAGCAATTAAAGTTTTAGCAGTATTTAAACCCATTTGACGACCAGGACATATTCTAATTCCACCACCAAATGGTAAATAAGTATTTTTATCGAAATTTTTATCAAGGAACCGTTCAGGTTTAAATGAAGTTGGATCAGGCCAATAAGTTTCATCATGATGAACATAATGGTAATTGATGAAAAATTCTTGACCACCTTTATATTTAAAATCACCGAGATTATCAGCACTAGTAGCTTGTTTAAATAGAGCTGGAACTGTTGGTAATAGACGTAAGGATTCACTAATGCAAGCCTCAATGTATTTCAAATTTTCTAAATCATTGTAAGTCATAGGATGGGATCTATCATTGCCAAAAATTTGATCGACTTCTTCGCAAACTTTGGATTTTATAGCGGGATCCTTACAGATGTGATACAATGCAATCAAGGTGGTATGCGCACTCTATTTGCATATGTATGTAACAATAAAATTTAGAATATATTTAGAATAAGTTTAGGATCATGTAGTGAGATTTATCACGTGGTTAAGAAGTGGTTAAGAAGTGGTTAAGAAGTGGTTAAGAAGTGGTTAAGAAGTGGTTAAGAAGTGGTTAAGAAGTGGTTAAGAAGTGGTTAAGAAGTGGTTAAGAAGTGGTTAAGAAGTGGTTAAGAAGTGGTTAAGAAGTGGTTAAGAAGTGGTTAAGAATTAAAGAAAGTCATCTGTATAAAACTGTTAGATACATACCGAATCAATGCTACCAATAATAACATCAAATAAATTTTGTTTAAGATTATCATCATCCATAGGTTCATCAGGTTCATCACCAGGTTTATTAAATTGAGGACCTCTTTCCGTATTTGCGGTACAAAGTATAGTTAGAATATCAAGACCTAAAGGTTTATCTTTAGGAGTATTTTCAATTTCTTTTTTTCTATTAATTATAAGATTGGTTAAATAATCATCTAACCATTGAATATTGTTTTGATGTTTCCATTGAAAATAATAAAATGGAGGGCAAAATCTTAAATATCTTGGTAAGAAATAAACGAATTGCGCAGTAACTAGCCATGTTCGAAGTCGGCCCATTAATTCCTCGGTTGATTGAATTTTTGAGACTTTTGAAACATTTGATGAAAGTTTATTATAATAAGAAAGCAGAGTGTTTGCAGGTCTATTAGTAGTTGTACGAGAAGATAATTCCGATTGAATTTTGACAATCCACTTAGATAAATCGACTTCATTATTATTATTATTACATTCTTTTCTTAAATTACTTAGATGGCCTTGAAACTCTTTGAAAACATGTTCAGTAGTTTTTAAGAATTGTCGTAAGAATGAAGGTAGCATAACAGTTTGAGTTAAAATTCTTCTATTATATTTCCAAGAATCTAAATTATGATTAAAAAAAATTCCTTTTCCAATAGTATTGATTGCAACTTCGTCGATCCATGAATGCCTGGAACGAAAAGGAAAGTTTGTTTTTGTTGAAGGAATATGTATTGTCTTGATAAGTTGAGCGTCCCCTACCCAGATTACACGCGCTGTACCATTATATAATTCAAAAATTCCACCATATTTTTTCTGAAGATTAAGGAATAATACACTTAAATCACCAAAATACATATAAATGGTTCCTAATAAAATAAAAATTCATTAATATGACTAAAAGCTAGTAAATCAAAGAAAAAAAATTGCAATGAATAAATAAAAAAATTATATATACCAATCATTGGAAGCGGAAATGGACCTGGTAGAGGACTGTAACGAGTAAAATAAAAATAATAAAATTTTGCCGAATAAGCCAAGAATAGGAACAAGAAGACTGATAGCCATTCTTGAAAATTTTGAGGAACTAGATGAAAAATTGCTTGAATAAGAGAACCCATTTTTTTTTGTTAACGCAATCTTTATTAAGACGTGCTATTTTATATTAATACTTATCATTTAAATATCGATACCTATGTAGCACGAGATGAAGCTTTCTCATTAAAAAATGAGACATCATCGAGCCAAATGAGTCATCACTATGCGCTATGAAAATATAGATTAACCAAATTTGGATTACATATAATATAATGGTAAAAATTATTCATTTTTTGTATTCAAGCTATAATTATTTATTTATACTATTGTACTATGATTTACTCGCTACGTTTTTACTCGTACTATACTAAACTAAAAATTCGTCCAGGATCACGTGATTTATTCGTATCACATTACAGTAGCCGAGTTTAAACAACGGGATGTGAGTCGAAAGGCTAGTATATACTATATTTGTTTATTAATGTTACAGTATGGTTGTTTTATTTAGATAATGAAGAGGTTATTATTTAGACAATGACAAATCTTCGGAACGTCTGATCATAGAAATTGGTGAAATTGAGTTAAGGTTTAATGATAAAAAACTGATTGGATACCATGTAAAACAAATCTTGTGCTGCATAATTGTATCACATTCAGGTTTTACAGTTACAAATCAAAAAGAGTTGAGAATATACTATTTCGATTGATCATCTCTACGACTGATTTTTTTTATTGTTTTTTTTTCGTATAGATTGATTCGAGTAATATTAACTTTTTTAAAAAAAAATTTAAGGTTAGTATATTTTAGTATATTTTTTTTTAGGGACAATACTGTAGAAGTAAACTATCATTGCCGTATAAAACCCTGGTTCTGTTTCATTTAACAGAAGTGTGGGCCGTCCATAATTTGGTGTTTTGGTTATAGCTGAGTTACTGATTATTAGTACTCTGTTTATTAATCCTTATTCCTATTTGTATATTCGGATCTTTTATATTTTACCCACAATTTATCCCATTTTATAGATTCGGACACACATTTTATAGTATTCTATTTGTAAACTTAATTAAATTTAAATGCTAAAATAATTTTATTCTTTGAAAATATTGTTATTATAATTATTATTAAAATAATCATGATAAATCATAATTAAATTTAAATTTATAAAAGCAATTGATTTTTATTATACTGAAATCTCATTTGAAATTAATTTATCAATATGATTATTGAATCAACTGCCACAAATTTTCTTTACCGTAGTTCAAATAACTTAAATAATGCAAAAATATTTTTGTTTTTAATTTTTAACTTTTAGATGTTGTAATTACCAAATTATTTTAATTAAGTTTACATCGTTAATTTGTATCTTTCACATATGTTCGAACTGACCAGGGATAATTGAAATTTGAAAACTTATTCTGTTTAGTAAATTAGTTATATGAAAATTTAATTAGTATCATTGCACGTTTTAACGTTCCTACATTATTAAAATGAATTTCCACTCATAGGATTCATAGTATTTTACGTTAAGAAACGTACACATTTTAAACTAAGATGTAATGTACGTACTTGAAATTGCTAATAAATTACCAAGGCATACATCTTAATAGTATAATCAACAAAAAATTAACTCAGATATACTAGAAAATAAATTACTACAGTCAGACCACTCTAAATGCATCTTCCTTAAATGCACGCTTTATGAAAAGTCTCCCTAAATGCATGTATTCTCGGTCTCGCCGCAATGCATTTAAAGATGTCTGATGTATTAAATAAATAAATAAAATAGTAAATGCAAAATTAAAATAATAGTAATGTAAGACTTAAAATAGTAGTAAATGTAAATTAATAGAATATTAAAATAATATTAAATGCAAAATTAAGATTAATGCAAAGACATGCATTAAAGGTTTTGTCTGCCACTGTGCTCCCAACCCAAATACTGAAAATCTCAAAATATTGGCATGAGCATTATTTTTGAGTTTGGCTCGAATTTTAAGTTTATTTTGGCCAAATTTCGTAGTTTCATCCTGGGCGTTATTTCGTGAATTTACGGTAAACCATCACACATAACGATAACTACTAAGTCCTATTAGAGAAAATATTAAAGCAAATTTAATTTCAAAAATTTTTTTTAATCTAATGTTTATGTAACAATTTCAATTTGAACATATATTAAAATTCACATATACTTTTTTATTAACAGTTCTAACCCTAAACTTTAACCACCTTAATTCAAATAATGCATCCATATATAGTAGTAGGTGGTATAGAAAGTAGTCAGCGATGATGTTGCTGAAATTATCCACGTTCGTGTCAATCATCTGAACACGTCAATTTTTTATCATTATTGAATGCTCTATTACGATCCAAATAATCTATTTTCTTTCTCATAGATACAATATGTTCATTCTTGTAAGTGATATTGTCAGATTAACATGATGAGACTTCAAGTATTTCGTCCAATTATATATTATACAAATAACTTAGGTCATAATGGTAAACTTGTATCTAGATTATGGTCACTCTTGATGGTTATCCGTCGTGAAATTCTTATCATATATAGTGTATCTATTGCTGACTGGACGACTGCTGTTATCCCTCCATTGCTTATGGCAATTGGTGAGTAGCTAATTATCAATCCTAAACTCATCAAACTTTTTAGCTAACAATTGTTCTTATTCAGGTGCGTTTTACATGCATTTCTTCAGTTCTGTTTCTGATTATAATGGTGAATTCCCCGATACAATATTGTATATCATACTCCCACGCTTATTTAAAATTGTCGTATACTTTATTCATTATCTTGTATTTTTTAATTGATATGTACTCTATTTTCTTAAATAAATAATAACCTCTGTTTATATTTCTGTTTATATTTCTTTAATTAATGTGAGGGACCAGGGTCAATTAGTTTTAAAGTCTTCCAATGAGTAGTAATCATAAAACAATACTAATTGACTTTATGTTGAAACCAACCTCATATCTGATATTGGTTCTTTATCATTAATACCTTTTATTCTGCTACGCAGGTTTAATCAATTAGCTTCTGTGGAAGAAGATAGATTAAACAAATCATTCCGTCCAATTGCTTCTGGTCTTATAACTGTTGAAGGTGCTAAATATTATCTAATTGCCTTCTGTATTATCTATCCAATAATAGCATATCTAGTTGATGGTTTATCTTCACTTTTTTTATGTTTTATGTGGCAAGTCTGGATTGTATTTAGCGATACTCTCAAGCTGGGCAAAAACGCTTTTAATAAAAATTTATTTTCTGCCGTCGGCATGTGGATTCAACTTAGCTAGCTGCTATTATATTATCCTTGATACTGATCCTAGCTTATTTGAATTACTAAACAATAAGCCTTGTTTATTTAAATTCGCTATATTCTTTTATATCATGACCACTGCTCAAGTTGATCAAAAAGGTGACAAGCTTATTGGTCGCAAGACACTTCCACTTCTTAAGTGACAATATTTGTAGGTGGTTGACAGTTGTAATGTTAATTACATCATTATTCGTTGTACGCTATATTTCTAGTATATTCTTACGTGATGTAGTTAAAATAATTATTACTAATGAACTTGTTCCATATGAATTTGCCATTTTTTAATTCATTATGATAGTCTTAAACATTTTTACCTGTATTAGATTAATTTTGTTCAGGGAGCCAAAGCAAGATAGTATTACCTATCAACTATGCTATGGTGGATTTTATTGTATATTATGTTTATACTACGGCATGTGTATTAATAAACACTTAGAACTGAAATAATAGTAGACTTGAAATTCATTATTGATATACGATTAATGTTAACATTTAAATTTTCGTTAAAAACTTGATAAATTAACCACTTAACAGTATCAATAATGTATTATTATTTAATTAGTACAAATTTTTTGACAATTTGTCATTGCAGTTTATCTTTAACGTTAATAGTAAAGCAAATTTTTTTGATATTTGTGTAACAATAATGTTTTGTTTATTACAAGAGTTGAGGCCAGATTTGTATGTATTTTGTTTTGATAATTGTTAAATCCGAACTTCTACTAGTGGTATGTTGATATGCAAATGTCACTGATCGATATACGTTGTGAAAGGTTAGATCGTTGCTTGTACTGTAAATACTTGAATTAGTTGGTGCTTATTTGTCACACCAATGATTTGGTCATAGGAAGACATTCGTATGATTGGTTAATTTTTGTAGATCTACCCGTGATTTCCCGTGATAATTAACCAATCAAAATACACAATTTTTTTAAAAAGATTTATCGTTTAATACAGTAATATTACTAGAAAACGAACAAAAACTTCACGTAAAGAAGCTTACATATCAATAAATACACGTAAAATAATTCATCACATATGTTTAGAGAACAGATAGATACACGTAAAGTTGGTAAATATGATATTTATTACTTTTATTACTAAAAAACTAAACTTATTAAAGAATCTACAAAATATAAACCAAAACTTTAATTTACAGACCAAACACACTCAAGAATCGACCAAATTTTTAACATTAAACCCAGATCTACTACTTAAAGATTCGTATCTATCCAAATTAAAAACGGTTAATAATAAAATTTTGTTTAAATCTAATATAATAAAGTAATTTTAAATGAAAACATTTTTAGTTACCTTGCTTCGCAGTATAATTTCACACAGCCCAATAGACCGTAGTGTATTTTTTATTCTAAGTGAAGTGAGGCAGAAGGTTTACTTAAAGCTAATAATAACTTTGCCATTGTTTTGTTAGTTTTAGCCTTTGACAATGCATTCTTGGTTTACCTTTTTTCCATTTTGCTAATTGCAAAATGTAATAATACACATAGTAACTTCGCTTCTAAGTAAAGTCCACTGTTTTTCTGATTATTTTGTGATTATTTTGTATAGCGAAAGGCAACATTCTTCTAAACTTGATTACGAAAAAAAAGTTTTTTTCATAAGTAAAATTGTAAAATGTTGCAGTTCAAAAAAGTACTTTAAACTGTATAAATTAGTTACCCAGGCAATTGATTTACATCAGCCAATCAGATTAAAGTCCTTCTATGAATGATTTGGTCACATCTGATCCTTAAAAATTTCGTTAAAGTTTGATTCAAAATCGGTGAAAATTTAAGAATGATTTTAAGTCAATCTGGAATTGATTGAAATCGTAAAATGAGCTAGAACATATATATGTTTTTGCACTAACTAAACACACTAAATGTGTTGAGCAAATATTAAATGAAAATCCAATAATATTGATCGTGTCGACATTTACAATATTAAATTTATTTATAGACAAAGTATCATATGTCTTTATATATTAGAAATTTGCGTAATTTTTTACAAGTTTCTGATATGTAATTTTTGCATGTAAATAATGTTGGTTAAAACTTTCAGAGTGCTGGCAAAACTTTTGTGATGCAGGTGCAATAACTATGTGTCAGTGCACTAGTCAACTGTTAATGTAAAAGTTGAGTATATGCATAAGTGTGTACGTACATATGCTCATATTTACTGTACGATTTTACAATTTTATTGTATTTATTATGTTGAATTCACAGACTTAATCAAATCAGCCAGTTACTTTTACCAACACGTTCAAATTAATAATTAGATATAATTAGTATAATATCAATTATTGATAATAAAATATTCTAATTAAATATAAAATGAAAACTTTATACTTTTTTAAGTAAAACTCAACACATTAAAAATTAAAAATGATCTATATTACAAACACAAAATTTAGAATTTATTAAAACATGCATTGAGTGTATTATAGCCCAATATCAGCTATTTAATATTACTACTTTAATTTACCATGTTCTATTTAAAATGTTATCTAAAAGTAAATATCTAATTGTTTGTTATATGATTTTTTATTAATATTATATAATACAGAAATAAATACTTGGATAGTAAGCCAATTTAAAGAATATGAAAATATTAAACAGTTAAACAGTCAATAAGAAAACAATAAATAGAAGCTAAGTTATAATTTTTGTTATTCATTTGAGTTAAAATATTCTTTGAAAATAATTCTATATAATCTAGTCTAATATTGAATATAATAAATTATTAATCTAATAATAATCAATAACCATATCTAATAATTTTATAAAGTTTACTGCTAATTATTAATAGTTGACAGAATTTACTTCTTAAAATAAAAGAGTTTATCATTAAGTTTTAATTGCTGTTATATTGATAGTTGTATTTTTCTAATAATAACAGTCTCTATTTGTTAGTTCTTTATACTTTTTTTAATTTTAATATTTCTACAGTACTGTAAGATAATAGATTTTTACTAATTCTTTGAAGATTCTACTTTTATATAACTATCTAAAGCCAAGTATTATCTTTATTAAGAATTAAATAGTTTTATTCCAGAAGATATTGTAAAATATATTATTTAAGCCATTTTTTACAATACAATTATTCTACTTTTGAGGATAAGATAAGATCTTAAAGAGTAAATAATTATGAAATTAATGATTAGAAAGTTGATAAATAAAATAATTTGAACTGGGTTGAGTTTATAAATTACTATTATTACTTACTATATTTGAAGTTTGATTATTTACTGTATCTGAAATTTGTAGTTTAGTTTTATTTTTATTTGTCTATTTATATAAATATTTTAACTTATAATAGTAATCTAAACTCTCTAATTATCTCATCACATTCTATCTTATAAGAGGTTTCTGCCTATTATGTTGAAAAATTGTGAATAGTAAATTTTTTAAATAATAGCAAAAAAGCAGTAAAATATTAATATCTTTATTATATTATCTTAAAGTTTATATAGTATTTTTTAAAATTTATTGATTAAATCTAATTTTTTTTATTATAGAAAAATTATTAGTAAAAGCCAAAAAGAAATTTTAAACAATTACTAGTTGCAAAAATAAAACTTCTAAACAATACTTATATACTTCTAAGCAAAATCAAAAGTATTAAGTAATTAATAAAATAAAATTTTATTAGTTTTTTAGATTTGTTTATTCTAATTAAAAAAATAATTTAATATCTTCTAATATACAGAATAAACTAAAAAAATTTATATAAACCAAATACAATTAATTAATTTTTTAAAATAAAATTATATTCATATATCTTTTAGCAGAATAAAACTATCAAGACAAACTTATATTAGAATTTAGTTAAAAGTAAATTATATATTTGAAAAAAATATTATAGTATACTAACCAAAGTACCCAGGATCCAATACAATCTAAACAAAAAACTTATAAAGTATCTGTAAGTATTTTGATTGGTAATGAGTATTTTAAATAGAGAATACTTTGTATAGTCTTATATATATAATACAGAAATCAATATATATTAATATAAAAAATACTATACAAAATATTGAAGATTATTCTTGGTTAAAAAATGCTATACAAAGTATCAGATATTTTAAGTAAAGATATTCAAAAAGAGTACTTTGATTAATGTACTATAATATATATATTTTAGTTATATGCTTAAAAGAATTTCAAATAGCAAAAGTACTAAAAATAAATTTAAATAGTAATTTTAAATTATTTGAATTAAAATAATAATATATTTTTAGAAGATTAGCAAAAAAAATTGTATTATATATTATTATATCAGTAGAGTGAGCAAGAAATAGCATCAATCTGTAGTTTTCTATTTGCTTAAAGCAAACTAACTATAAATAAAAAATAGCAAAATTAAAAAACTACAGAATGAATAGAAAAAGTAGATTAAAAATGCTAACTATTTAAATTAGATATTTGATAAATAAAATAACTTTTTATAATCTTTTTATATTAGTTATTTTAGCATCTTAGAGTTATATAGTATGTTCTTGTAATTTAATATTAATTATTTTTTCTAATTGACTTCTGATAAAGCTAGATTATAGTATATAATATTTTGCTATTGACAAATACTTTTGTCTTTTCTATTTATTAATTTTGTCAATATATATATATATATATTTTTTCACTTAGGCAAGATCATACCAGTGACACTGTTTATTAAAGTCATCATCTCATGGAAAATGCAAAAACAATAAAACTTAAGTCCTGACATCCTACAGCTACTTCGCCTTCGAGCGCCCATAGGCAACCTGCCGCACCGACGAGATATAAAATATACTCTAACCAGAGGGCTCGTCTGACCACCGCCCTACAATAAAATATCACCAATCTGATGATATCTTCTTGTAGAGAAGTGAAAGAAAAAGAAATTTTTTTAAAAAAACATAGAGGTATAGGGAAATACAGTAAAAAAATACAAACAAGAAAAAAATGGGGTAAGAGAAAAACAAAGAAAACCTAAACTAAATACGGGATTTTTCACTTGCACCAGACGATCACAATTATAAGCCTGTGTCAGGCTCTGTAAAAATCACATACTACTATCTAAACTAGTCTCTACTCTAATCTACATATATAGTATATCTAAGATAAGAAAAAAAACTCTGTGATAAGGTAAAAAAAAGATAGCTTCTTCGATATCGGCACCATAGAGAGGTCAGAAAGATCGAAAATTCGCACCAGAGGTCTTGAGTTATTGTTTGTCCAGGTTGTCACATTCGAGGCACGTAATCTATATGTCTAGTTCCATAAGATCTCCGTGTTTGTTGTGAC